ACCCCTCGGCGGTCTTGCGCCCCTCCGAGCCTCTCGAGGGTGGAGGTTCGAGGCCCCTCCTTGTTCGCACCGCGTTGGTCCCGAGATTGGACCTCCTGGGACGCGGTATCTTTGGCCGTGACCCCCTCGTTGTTCCCTAGGCGAAGGATGGGGTTCACGAAGGGGGCGGAGGAGGGGGAGGAACGTCGTTCTCCCCGACCTGCGGCTGAAGGGGCACTAGAGTGCCGAAGGCACCCGGGTTTTGGGTGAGTGTTTGGATGAAGGCGGAGAATGCCGAATGTACGTCAATAGTGAGAACCAGAGGGCTCACTTGATTTTCGCTCCGATCTCTCCTCCGGGTTTCGATGCCAAGACGGGCATCAGGGGCATTCTGCTGAAGCTGAAGGCGCAGATCAACAACAGCCTGTTCCAACTCTGTGATGACCCCACCCTCGGGAGCCTTGTTAGAGGCTCCGAGGGCGTTGACTTCACCGAGGGCGTGGTTGTTGTCCTCGAGGTTCTTGGACTGAGCACAGGTGGTTCTTCCTTTTCTGGTAGGTGTTTTGAGCTGAAGGGGAGGGTTTCTTACTTGATCGTTCGACCTCTCAACGAGAGCACCAAATGATGGATAGTATACCCGGGGGTAGCTTATCCGAGGGGTTACTGCGGGGAGTAACTTAGAGAGAAGTCAGAGAAAATAAGTAAGAGAGATAAAGAGTTCAAATATGTATTCGAATTGCATTGAGCGTGCTTTACAAATGGGAAAAGGGGTGCTATTTATAGCAGCAATAAATGCTAGATAGGGACACATGTCAACAATCTGGTGGTCGAGGGGTCACCTCAACTGGGGTGGCACTGGCATTCGCATGTGGCCGCATTAAATGCGGTGGTCGGATGCGGCGTTTGTACTTGGTACGTTGATCCAGCGCATGTGGATGGGAGATCATGTCGAGGAGGATGCCTTCGGCTGTAGATGACAGTCCGAAGGCTTTGCGTACCGGGGGTCTCATATTGCCGAGGGCTCCTAGTGCCGAAGGCTTGGTTTTTAAGCCTTGTTCTCCTGCGATGTTTCTGAGCCATATTCTATCACTGGTGACCCTCGGCCGTGGGGCCGAAGGCACCCCCTAATGTCTCGTGGGCTGCCTAGAACTTCATTATGCTGGATTTGGCCCATTTTGGACCTGTTGGGCCTGAATGCAATAGTGGAAGTATGTGGGCCGGGGGTTCTTCAGCCTTCAAGAAACATTTGTCATCTGACATTTCATGCCTAATTGCGTGCAGTCACCGCCTCCTATTTTGGGCTCAAATATTTGTAGAAGCATGCAGCTTAAAAGAATTCGTTTTGGGAAATATCAAATACGGCTTGCTGTACTATGCTCCAAATAATGCTCTTAATGATATTGTTAAGTTTGAAAGATCCTTGTTTTAAAAAGATGTCAAGTTTTTGTTGCCTGTGTTATTTTCAAATTTTCATATACTAGGTTTGTTATTAAATACTAGTAATTGCAATGTACTGAATTAGCTGCTAGCCACATTATAAATAAAATGTTTAAATAAGATAAAAATGTTTTGAAGCTATTAAACAATATCAAAAGTAAATACAAACTTTTGTAAAGGAGTGGTTATTCTAAAAGCTATTATACTTTTGAAAAATATATGCACATTAGAAGAATAAAAATAATATAAATATATAAAAATCAAAACCTTTAAATATGCCAAATTAATTTTATAAATATTTAAAATATTAACATTTTCAAAACATTATAAAAAAGATAATTAATGTAACCTAAAGAGTGTAATATTCAAAAACTAAGTAAATAAAAAATGTAAAAAGCTAAAATATTTTTACATTATTTACTAAAATAGTGTAAAACGCTAAAATAAAGAGTGTAATTTTTAATTAAAATATTTTAAAAATATATGAATTTTGTAATGTAATGTTTCTTAAAGAACTTAATATTTTAATTATGATTATTATTTTATTGTTAGTTTTTGTTTCATATTGTTTCTTTTTGTTTATGACTCTGAAATTATTGTTTCTTAATGTGTCTAATTGTTTATATTCATAAATCAAAATTTATCATTTTTGCGTTTGTATGTTTCTGAAACATTTTTTTGTTTCATATTGTTTCTTTTTGTTTATGACTCTGAAATTGTTGTTTCTTAATGTTTTTTAATGTTTCTAATTATTTATAAATTGAAACCTAGCTAGATAAACATAGAAAGTCTATTTCAACAATATACAATAATAAACAACACAATGGAACAAAAAGTATCGTGATACAATAAAATGCAACATGGTGCAACAAAAACCAATACAAGTGATGCAACAAAAAAAACAAAAACAAATATATAAAAGTATCACACCAAATATACAAATATATAAAAGTATCACACCAAATTAAAAGTATCACACCAGCCATAAGTCGGAACGAATCTGACCGGTCCTGACCGATCTTAAGGTTAGTTTGACGAATTCTTTCACATTTTCTTATTGATTGACATTTCAACAGTTCTTATAAAACTTTTCACTTTAAAAAACGATTTCAAAAAAGCGAGACTGAACCACCGAGTCATTGACCATCCCAAACAGGGACCGCCATGTGGTTTACGAGACTAGCCCGGGGACCGCTTGATTGTCGATCGAACCGAACATGGATCGTCGAGTCATTGGCCGGACAAGATGGTGACCGTCGGGTCGTTGATCGGACAAGATGGAGATCGTCAGGTCGTTAATCGGACCAAATGGGGACCGTTGAGTCGTTGACAAGACCAGATGAGGACCGCCGAGTTGTTAACCAGACCAAATCGGATCGGGATTGTCCGTCCGTCGACCAGACCGAACAGGTACCACCTGATCATGGATCGGACCGGACAGGGACTGTTAGGTCATCGATCGGACCGGACAGGGGCTACCAGGTCGTGGGCCGGACCGGACCAGATAGCGGCCGTCGGGTCTTGGATCGGATTGGACAAGGACCGTCGGGTCATGGATCGGATTAGACAGGGACCGTCGGGTCGTCGACCAGACCGGGACCATTGGGCCGTCCTTTGGACCGGACAGGGACCACCAGGTCAATGACCGGACCAGACCGTCGGGTCATTGACCAGACCTGATAGGGACTGTCTGGTCATCGACCAAACCGAAGTGGAGCTGACACCGCAGGGGACCGGAACCACCACTAGGCGTAAGTATGTAAATTCATTGCAGCTGCATTGCAGCATCCGCGTTTTCCAAATTTGGAAAACAAATAAAATTCAATTCTCGAATTCATTAAGGAAGACAGAAACATATTTCATTTTTTTGGTTTTGGAAAACGATTTGTTAAACGCATTTTTCTGTTTTTCTTTTCCAGTTTTCCAGCATTTTTTAGGCTAAACAAGTTTTCTATTTTCTCTTTTCCAGTTTTCCGGTTTTCTGGAAAACTGAAAAATATATTTATTAGTAAACAGAACCTAATATATACGGAGTAATAATTTATGTCGATTAAATTGAATGTCAAACATCTTAAATGGCTATGGCCTTGTTTGGCAATCGGCTATTAGCTGGTTATGTCAGCTGTTTGATCACAGCTGGTTGTGTTAGCTGTTTTGATTGACTAGTTATGTTTGCTTGTTGATAATAAATGTTTGGTAGAATTAGCTGTTATAAAACAACAGTTTGAATGTAAAAAAGATGTACAAGGACATGAGTGTATATATAATATTTGAGCAATGTTAATAGTGATAATGTTAAGACTATAATTTATTTGCAAAATAAATTATTTAAGAAAAACAATACTCCGTATTTTATTTGAAATGTTAGCTGTTTATGTTAGCTTGTTGTCAAAAACTGTTTGGTAAAATTAGCAGTTTAAGAGAGCTGTTAAAGTGCAAAAAGACTTATAAGGACATTGGAATTTACCCCTTTCGAAACTTATAGATTTATCATCTTTCTCTTTTGATCAATTAATTTGTAATTCATATTATTTTTATCTCATCTATACAAACATCAATCACATAACTTTTAATTTAATTTTTTATATGCTAGTCAAACTTAGCAAAATTATCAAGTGAAAGTATTATTTTAGATATTGCTAATCGTATGTTACAAAACATTATTAAAATAAAGATTATTTTGAAATCAACTATTCTCTTCAATGAAGGGCTACGTAGCACGCACAACGCTAAACAAATGCGTGTATTTACCGAGGGCATGAAAGGGAGAAACGAAGAAGCCGAACCTAAACGCTGCACATGCTAGCGTTTCATTTTTTACCTTCTTGGGTTCAAAAAGCTAAACTCATCAGCCCTTTACTAAACAATTTAGCTATTTAGATGGTGAGAAAGTAATCAAACAAGCTAAAAAAAAAAATTGGCTCATAAGCCATTTTCCAAACATGTCCCATGTCTTTCATTAAAAATGGGGGTTGCTTCATGCACCCCACAATTGCTTTACTAAAGAATTTTAATTTATAGTGCGCCTAGCAAGAAAGAAGCATTAGATTTAGTGACTCCATATAAAGAAGGATAAATCTGTCCGATGATGGAATAAAAGGGGTGCGCAGAGTAAGTTCGAAGGTGCGCTGAGAAGGAGCGTTAACTTAATCTAGGACACCCAAAAATTGGCCGAGAAGGACCGTTGCTTTACTAATGAATTTTAATTTATGGTGCGCCTAGCAAGAAAGAAGCAATATATTTAGTGACTCCGTATAAAGAAGGATAAAGCTGTGCGATGATGGAATAAAAGGGGTGCGCAGAGTAAGTTCGAAGGTGCGCTGAGAAGGAGCGTTAACTTAATCTAGGACACCCAAAAGTTGGCCGAGAAGGACCATTGCTTTACTAATGAATTTTAATTTATGGTGCGCCTAGCAAGAAAGAAGCATTAGATTTAGTGACTCCGTATAAAGAAGGATAAATCTGTCCGATTATGGAATAAAAGGGATGCACAAAGTAAGTTCGAAGGTGCGCCGAGAAGGAGCGTTGTAAAAATGCTCTTTGGAAATCTAGAAAAATAAGGGTTCTTTGGTAATTGAGAAGGTTTTCGGTTTTCCGCACTACTTAGCCAGTCAAATTCATTTATAAACTACGGAGTACGAAGTACTGTCCCTCCAACCCTAGCCCTAATTCGGCATTTCCTCAAATCGCTAGGGTCAGAAGGAAGATTGGCGAAGAAGTTCCGATGGGTAGAAGTGAGTTTCATTTTTCTTTCATTATCATTCATCAATGAATTCGACTCTATACGGTAAAGTCGTTGGAAATAATGGAAGTAAATCTCTATGATTTTTTATAGTTTATTACTTCGTAGTATATTCTAGGAAATTTGTGATTTTTGCTTAGTATTCATGTTGGATTCTGACTTGTTATATTTTCTCAATTGAAACTAATGTGAAAATTTAGAATTATTGATGGTATATACTCGTATAAAACTAGAATTGATAGCTTCGTATGGTAATACCATATGATTTAATATACTACCTCCAGCTAAGATTGGGACAAGAGAAAAATTTGGTACGAGACAATCTTAGTGGGTTTGTGTGATTTATAAAATTGGTTTGTGTCACGATTATTAAACGATTATTAAGAAAAATGGGTTTGTGTGATTTATATGAAATTGATAAAGTAAAAACAAAGCAAAAATGATTTAGAACCACATAAACTTTACCAAAATTTGGTACGAGACAATCTTAGTGGGATTTCCCGAAAAGGTTAAATGACACAATCTTAGCGGGACGGAGAGAGTAGTTTATACTACTAAATTTTGGGAAATTTGTGTTTTCTGCTTACTATTCATGATGGATTCCGACTTGTCATTGCTTAATACTCTTGGTCGTCAATCCCGACAGATAAAAATGATGGGTTTGGCTTTTAACCTCATTCAGCTATATTTCTCATAGTGTATTCACATGTACTAATGAAACATTTAAAAGTTTAGGAGATGTTCATGATATATACTATGAATTGATAGCTCTGTTTATGGCAAAACCATTATGATGGTATTTTTGTGCAAACTGTTATCAGGACCAGCAAGGTGTTACCGCCAGATTAAGAACAAGCCATACCCAAAGTCAAGGTACTGTCGTGGTGTGCCTGACCCAAAGATTAGGATCTATGATGTGGGAATGAAGAAAAAGGGAGTTGATGAGTTCCCATTCTGCGTGCATTTGGTCAGCTGGGAGAAGGAGAATGTCTCGAGTGAGGCCCTTGAAGCTGCCCGAATTGCTTGCAACAAGTACATGACCAAGTTTGCAGGAAAGGATGCCTTCCACCTTAGGGTTAGGGTTCACCCTTTCCATGTTCTTCGTATTAATAAGATGTTGTCGTGTGCTGGGGCTGATAGGCTCCAAACAGGAATGAGGGGGGCGTTTGGCAAGCCGCAAGGTGTCTGTGCCCGCGTTGCCATTGGACAGGTTCTTCTGTCCGTTCGCTGCAAAGATTCCAACAGTCAAAATGCACAGGAGGCTTTGCGTCGTGCCAAGTTTAAGTTCCCTGGTCGTCAAAAGATCATTGTTAGCAGAAAATGGTATGCCATCTTTGCGTTTACATGTTAATATAATATTGATTGACTGATCACTTCAAATCCATGATCATACTAAAGCAGCCTGGTTTCAAAAGCTTGTGTTTTTGTCCCAACCAAAAGTCTCCTCTGATCAAACAAATCTATTTGAACCTTTATGGTTAATTATGTTAGACCGCAGCAGTCTATTAAAACACATGTAAGGTTCCATGGTTATTGAGGTTGTATATTGCTAAACTGTAAAAGATTTAACTAGTCCAAATTCCTTTTTTGTTGGGGTGAGGATGGGGGTGAATACATGCTTAGAGGAAGTGCCATGATGTTTTTTAAGACACAATTCTTTAGACCATTGTTTAAAATATCGCACTGCCTTACCGCCTCAAAGAGCGCCTTGGTCTCCTATTTACGATGGGAGGCATATCCTAATTTGAGCAATATACTCCCTCCGGTCCTAAATAAAGTTCACACTTTCCTTTTTGGGCCGGTCCAAAATAAAGTTCACACTTCTTCTCCCTTCCTTATTTGGCATATATTATCTCCATCAAAATAGTGCAAAACAGTGTACTCTACCGTAAAGTCAAATTTATTTCCTTAATTTTTGTGAAGTCAAACACTGAACTTTATTTAGTACCGGAGGGAGTATAAACTTGAGCAATTGTAGCTGATGCGTGTTCCAATTGCGTAGACAATTGATGCATTTATTGAGGTGCTCTTTGTCATGAAGGGGGGACTCCGGTAGACAATCAGGTTCTTCTGCGGGTGTAGACAAGAAGATGGGCCCACTTGTGAATTTAAGCTCAAATATGTTTTAAACCTTAGTACCTTATGTATGTAAGGTCTCTTTTGACTTACCGCTGGCGTGTGCCTGTGAGTTTACTTCTTCTCTGCGCGGTGATGGCTCAAGTGAAGATGGCTGCTGCAGGGGTGCGAGCTCTGCAATGCAGCAGTTCTGTGCTAAGGCTTCGAGAACTGTCTGTCAATTTTATCTAATTTTTCTCCTTCACCGCTTCAGGACAACCACTAATAATAGTTTTAAATTATTTTACTCCCTCCGTCCCTTATAACTTTGCCAACTTTCCATTTTTGGTTGTCCCAAAAACTTTGTCACTTTCCCTTTTAATCAATCAATTTGTGGTTCCTGTTATTTCTCTCTCCTCTGCACAAATTTCTACCACACAGTTTTTACTTTATTATTCTACGTGCCGGTCAAACATGGCAAACCTTTAAGGGACGGAGGGAGTAATATCTATTTTCATATCATGCGAATATGAGCAGCTGTATGATTTTAATAATAACATAGCTCCGTAGGTATGGTTTCGAATATAGGAGGATAAGGGCAGTAGGCAGTTGCATTGATTTAACTTTTCAAAATGTTTTTTCATATATATGCGATGGATGATATGATTTAGTTTGTTTTTTGCATATAATGCATTGGACGACTGGCTTTAACTTTTAAATTTTTTTCTAACATATACTTGCATATGCTTTGGACAGATTATTTTAGTTTTTTTTTACATTTGATACTTTCTAGGTAAGTATTACGTTTACTATTGATCTAATTTAACTTGCTCCGTATAACATACATGAGTATAAGGATTGTAAAAAACGAGATAGTTAAGATTAAAACTTGACACACTAACTAATGGCTTTTAAATTTGTTTCTATTAATGATAAAATTTGTTACTGTGGGTCCAAAATATGAAATTTAATCTCTGTTTCATATCACTTCATATTGAAAAGTCGCTTATAGACTTCTCAATCTAATAGTCTTAGAACTTTAACAGATCTGAAAATATTTGCTTTGTGTGATGTTTGAACATCACATTTTGATGGGGTTATGACCTCTGTTTTGTTGGTTTTTATTATCATAGTTTTTTACTTTTAATGATCGGGCTGTTTTACTCTTTATTACATTTACTACCTCCGTCCCAAAAAACTTTGTCATTTCATAAAATTTGAATCATGATTTTGATTAGTATAATATTATGTTACTCCCTCAGTCCCAAATTGTAAGATACATTTACTATTCACTTGGTCAACATAAATCACTCTTAATCTTTTACTTTATATATCAAAAGTTTATTAAATTGAATTATTTTTTGCAGGTTTTGTAGCGATTTTAATGTAGTTTCTGAATATGTAAATTTTATTTTCTAAAACTAATTTGAGTGTTGACAGGATCAATTTGCTTTATCGTTGGTCAAACATCGTAAACCGTAAAGTATCATATAAATTGGGACGGAAAGAGTAAGTTATAAATTTTATACTTTTATAAAAGTACTTTTAACAAAGAACATTTTCATATAATTTTTATATTAGAAATAATTTCCAATAAAATATATAGTTGGTTTAAGTTTTGAAAATGACAAAGTTTTTTAGTATGGAGGCAGCATGTGTTTTTTAAATGTAAATTTGTGCAATGAGGCTTACACAACAGGCAATGCTTAGAAACTGCCTCAAATACGCAATAAGCGATTTCAAGCATTGTGCCTCTCACCACATATGAAGCAGTTTGTGGTTTGTTAAGTACTACATAGTTAAAGATCTCTATTATTATTGGAGTGAAGATTCTGAATCTAGAATCATGTTTGATAATCAAGTCATGAAGATTCTAATCAGTTGTCTTTTTCCTATCTTACTTTTTAGGGGTTTCACAAAGTTCAACCGTACTGATTATCTGAACTACAAGAAGGAAGGCCGCATTGTGTCTGATGGTGTCAATGCTAAGGTTTAATCCTTTTCCTTTGTTGTGCTAAACTGCACTTTATTCAAATTTCATGTTTATGAGATATCTGAGATGAGAAGTAACTTTGCATTTCTTTTTTGTGTTTTATAGCTTTTGGGATGTCATGGACCCCTTGCAAAACGTGCACCTGGAAAAGCATTTATTGATGCAGCAGCTTAAACTTTTTGTTTTTGTTTCGCAAGACTGAGCAAAACGCAAGACTGAGCAAAAGTCTATCATGTAGCACATTATGATTTTATTTCATTTGAGCAAATATATCAGCAAATATTTATGATATTTTGTTGGCGTTTCTCTGTTTTGGATAATTTGATGTGTTTGTTACTTGTCATATTTCAATGATCGTGTTCTTTCCTTTTGCTTTGCACCCACCAGTCCACCACATTATTTGGGTTAGCTTTTCTTCTGTGATATTTTATCCTGTTTGTAAGCTTAGTCATTGCACTAAGTCAGCATAGTGGTGGACTCGGGCTGGGTCGGGCCCGGGCCGGGCCTAGGCCCCATCGGGCCGCCGGTTTGTATGACATGGGCCCGGGACCGGCCCGAGGGTTGGATGGGTCCGGTTCGGGCTGGGCCACCCGCCCGGGTCACGGGTTGGGCCACCCGCCCGGGTCACGGGTTGGGCCACCCGCCGGGTCGGGCTGGGCCGGTTAAAGAATTTTTTTTATATGAAATGAAATAGGAACTACATTTGAAAATTAAAACAAACTTCAAGAGATAAACATTTTGTAAATTATAATCAATCGGAACTTCCCGCACCTTCCGGTCCTTTGGCTTTGTCGTATGACTTCATATGCTTCATTGCCATCTTGTATCCGCCTGAAACCCTCATGCTACATTTTTTCCCGCACCATTTACAAGTTGCGTACCACATCCCGGTCTTCGGGTCTTTCTGCTTATCAAAATTATACCGTATAACGGCATCTTGATTTTCCATCTTAAGTATAAAGTAGATATATAAATAATAAATTAGTAGAGAATAGAGATTAGAGAGTAGGAATATTTGGAGAAGATGTGTAGTAAATTGTATAGAAAAAATGGAGTATTTATAGTTTTTTTGTACCCCTACCCCCCACCCCCCTAACCCACCCCTGGACCCCAGGAAGGCTCCCAACGGCTATATAGCCGTTTGGGTTCAATCACAACGGCTCTAAGGACCTGTTTGGTAGCCAAAAGATTTATTTTTTTTAAAATATAGCCGTTGGCCCGAACCGGCCGGGCCGGACCTTCCTTTTTGTGAACCGTGCCCGAACCGCTAGCCTCCCCCGAGCCGAGTAAAAGCCCTCACCGCCCATTCCGTAACCGGGCCGGGCCGGGCCCGCACAGTGGCGGGCCGGGCCGGTTCAGGGCCGGGCCGACCCGGTTTGGTCCATCCCTAAGTCAGCATATAAGCTGCACTCAATATATGCTAGAGTGGTATTAATCCGTATTTTGTAAGTTCTTTTTCTTTTACGATTTACTTGTTGAGTTACATTGTTCCTATCAGGAATACATGCAATTCAGAATCATTATTGATCGTGAAGTTATGAGCCAATTTTTCGAGGGCGATTCTGTGAATATTAGTATTGTTCAGAACAAATATAACTTAGTAACTTTTAGTAATTATAATTATGTTCAAATTTCACATTATAATGACCACAAAGATATACTCAAAATAACTTTAGTCACGTTCTTCTCAATAAATTTTGTTTTAATAATGTTTTATGAAAAACCTATTCTATTTTATTTTTAATTTTGAGTACAAATATTTGTCATATTTAAACTCGATTTTGCAATTCACCAAAATATTTATTTAGTACTACGTATATATATTTCTAAATAGCTAAGCTTTGACTATTAATAATTTTGGCAATCCCCGTTTTAAGTTTTATTGTCAACTTTTCACCACACATACCTTTTAATTTTACCATGTCGTGATGCGTAATTAGAGATGGACCCGGGCCGGTCCGGTTCCGTTCCAGGCTAGGCCCGGGCGGGTTTTTTTTGCAGTTACTTGGGCTCGGAACCGGTCCGGGTTGATACTGGGTTCGGGTCGGGCTGGGCCCGGTTCAATGTTTAAATTTTTTTTGACTTTCTTGTTATCCCTTGACCCCCCCTCACCCCACCCCCAAACCTCCCCAAAACACCCAGCCCTACCCTAGGGAAAGAAAAAAAATTGAAAAAACCCAAAAAAATGAATCGGGCCCCGCCCGAACCACCCGGGCCGGTTCAACAAAACTTGGGCCCGAGCCCGACTCGCCCGACCCGCCCGACCCGCCCACACGGGCTAAAAGCCCAGAACCGCCAACCGGTCCTGGTCCGGTCCGGGCCCGCACAGTAGCGAGCCGGTCCGGTTCCGAGCCGGTTCGATCCATCCCTATGCGTAATAATCAAAATAAGTAAGACTGAAGTTAGCTTTCAAGCAAAATTGGTTAAAATTATTGTAAAAGATGATTTTAGCTATTTTCATTTAACTTTTCTTAATTTTATCAATAATATTTTTTACATATAACTTTTTCTCCTTTCATCATATTCAGTAGTCAGAATATCACCAATTTCAATAAATTCGGCGGATTGAGTCAATTCCAATACGATTAAACAAACTTAAAGTCGGATAAATTTAATGTCAAACGATCAAACATCATAAATAGTTATATACTTATATACTTAATTACTTATGGTTATCTTTTTTGTTTTGGTTCTACAAAAAATTATTTCATACCAGTAAAATATGTGTGATTCTAATCATTATTATTTTATCATTCAGATAAATACACTTTCTTAATAATGATACACTTTTTATCTGCACTAGTTAGCCATTGTGAATTCATTTGTAAACGAACACGGAGTATATTTTGTACTACCTCCATAACACAAATATCTTCCTATTTTGACTTTTCACGGTCTTCTAAGCTGAACTTTGACTCTAAATATCTACATTTATAAAATTCATAATAAATTAACATTCAAATAATATGTTTTACAATGAGGTATATGAAATAAAATTTTAAGCATAACATAATGCGAGTTTTGAATAATTAATGATCGAAGTTTAAAAAGTTTGACTCAAAAGAGTCAAACTTGGAAGATTCTAGGATTACTGGGTAGTACTTGCAGCCCTAATTCGGCATTTCTTCTCGTTTTCATGAAAGGCATGGAGCATTGGAGCTCTTTGTATTTTTGAATTCCAGTCCCACCACATTTTCTGGGTTAGCTTTTCTTCTGTGACTCTCTATTATTGTTATAGCGCTCTCTGTATTTTGAATTCCAATCCCACCATATTTTCTGGATTAGCTGTTCTTCTGTGACTCTCTATTATTGTTATAGAGCTCTCCATATTTTTGAATTCCAGTCCCATCATATTTTCTGGGTTAGCTGTTCTTCTGTGACTCTCTATTATTGTTATAGAGGTCTCTTTATTTTTGAATTCAAGTCCCACCACATTTTCTGGGTTAACTTTTCTTCTGGGTTAGATTTCTGTATTTTTGAATTCCAGTCCCACCACATTCTCTGTATTTTCGTTTCAGTGGATCTCTATTATTTCTTCCTTTTCAGTTTATGATGAATTTAATGTATTTTGTTTTTTAAAAAATTGCAGATAGATTCCTAGCTAATCATAATTGTTTGGGGGCAAACAAGAGACTCCTGGGAAGTTCAGGGAAAGAGTGGCATAAATGAAATTAACCGAAATAGGAGGCTGATATGCATCTTTAGTTTAATAGTCATCTGAGTTTCTAATCTATAGAATCCTACAGCCATGGATCTCCCAAAACCAAAGAGGAGAAGTAACCGCCTCCTCTTAAAGCAGAAGAAAGAAGTAGCTGAAGATGAGCCCAAGAATGGATTTGGTTGTTTGCCGCCAGAAATCGCCAAGGACATTCTCTCGAGGCTTCCCAATGTCAAATCTATTTTCCAGTTCAGGTCTGTTTGTCGTTCCTGGGAACTCTGGTCTCATGATTCCCATGTTTTTCGGATGCACTTCTCTCGGAGCAGTAGTACACGGCCGAAACTCCTCTATTTCTATTCATTACTTGAAAATGAACTCCACTTTGTCGAATTCTCCGATATTAATGAAAAAGGATTGATTGCAAGTAAAATTGAAAATGCATTTGTCGATCTCACACCAAGATCATTTTCGGTGCTGGGCTCATTCAATGGCATCATGTTTTTAAGAGATGTATGTAATTTTAAGTGGAAATGCCTATATAATTCTTTCACAAGGGACTATAAACTTGTACCTGAGGTGGACTCTGAATATTACCGGTTATCTTATTCATATTGGGTTGCATGCCATCCAGTTACCCAGGAGTACAAAGTATTTGCTATGCGCACTGTTTTAGGTTTGACTGAACTTAGGTCAATAGCCTATGTATATAGTTTGAGTAGAAATGAGTGGACAAGATTAGGAGAGTTTCCTTTTAAAGTAGAAGATCGGTCAAGAAATCAAGGAGTTTTGGTCAATGGGAGACTCCACTGTGTGACTGTGAAAAACGAAGGGAAATTGTCTCTTCTTCCTAATATAACATCGATTGACATCATGAATTATTCTGTCAAGGAGGTTCCAATGCCTGCGGAGGTTATATTTCGAAATAGTAAGAGATCTCAACTTGTTGTTTTAGGGGGATGTTTGTCGGTTGGCGTAAGAAGAGTTGATTCAAGGGTGCATATTTGGGTGATGAAAACATACGGAATGGAATCATCTTGGGTGAAGCAGTATGTTTTTGGGAGCGAATTTCTTAAGTTTGATCGCAATTGGAGGAGCCATGGGGACGAAATGTTACGGATTGTATGCCTTCTTAACAATGAGGAAATCTTGCTAGCTTACGATGAACGCGAGCAAGGAACTTTGATTGCGTACAATTTTGTTACTAAAGGTTATAAGACTCTCACTTTTGGGGGAACGCTGCCAACAACGTCATGTCGTGCAATATTTGATTCATGCTGCTGGTCAGCTTAAGGGTATTTCACACTCACAGTCAAATACTAATTTCTTGCTCCTGAAAGAGAAGCATTTTTTTCGAGAACAGTTTCATTGCAGATAAAAAAAAACAATTTCATTGCGGAGATATTTTCGCCGCTGTTGTGAAAAATTGAACTTAGTTCAATTTATACAGCAACGACACAGGCTGATTTGACCCCTACATTCTTTGGTATAATTTCTAAAAGTTTCAGAATTAATATTTTGAACCACAAAATGACCATCAACATTGATATAGTTGATGTTCTGTTGTATGTAATATTTTATTGGGAACAAGAATACACTAGATATTAAAGCAAATTATAAACATCACGGGACTTTAGCAATTTCCAAAGGAAACTATATTATGTACAGACTAACATATAGATCTATTATTCTGCTATTCCCAATTCTTACCACGCACTTAATTTTGGTTGTAGAGCAGCAAAGCATATTCAATCTATTTCCAGCTATCTACATTCAACCATGGTAAACTCCCCATATTTCATGCTAGATTTTCTGTGATTTAGACATATCTTGGTGGTTTTTCAGGCATTGTTTTTCATTTTTGTTTTGGTAGCTAAAATGAGGGTGGTACATATTTTGTTTTGTATCTGTTTCTGAGATTCCAATTATGACGTGTCTCCTAAGCAGTTCATGCAGATTTCAAATTGTATGTTAGTGAATTAGTCAAAGGTCTAGATGTGTAGTTTTGGTTTTCATGTATTACGCACAACCGCTAGACAATTCTTGCCTTTTCATCATAGTTTCAAATGAAATTTCAACTGGATTTACATAAGTAGACTTGATGTTTGACTGCATTTATACGGAACAAATAATGCCATACCTCTTTTTTTTTTGTTTTAGTATCTGGCTGCATTTTTACATAATTTGCTTCTCCATTAGACCACTTGCGATATTTATAAACTTGCGGGATTTTCACTATGGGTCATCCGGAAACAGTCTCTCTATGCTTTAGTATAGGGGTAAGACTGCGTACATCCGACCCCCCCTTACCCCACCGTAGGTGGGAGCCTTTGCGGCACTGGGGTAAATGAAAATGAAAATGAAATGAAGCTTTCAATTGTTAAGTTAATATGCCTTCTGTTTCTACAATGCTAAAGCGGTTTAAGGCTCTCAAGAAGTTATAAATGATATATGTTACAATTCAAATGGGTTGATTTGATGTTTTTGAGAGCAAATGTGCAATCAATATTTTTTCTGCAGGCCATTTTATTTAAAAAATGAAAATAGCTATTTATGATTCTTGCATATGTGATGTGTATAAGTTGCAGCCCTTTCACTTCCTAAGTGTAAAACTTAGCATTTTGTTAGTGGAATGTCCATGTCTTGCTACTCTCAACCATGCTCCTTTAGTCAAGAGTTACTCTCTCTTTCTTAAAAAAGAGTCATGTTTTAACAACTTTTTTACATAATTTGCTTCTCCATTAGACCACTTGTGATATTTATAAACTTGTCTTAGGATGATGATAGTGATCTATATAGGATGTCCGAATTTACCTTTTTACCCTAGCGTGAAGCTTTCAATTGTAAAGTTAATATGCTTTCTGTTTCTACAGTGCTAAAGTGGCTTTAGGCTCTCAAGAAGTTATAAATGATACTCCGTATATGTTACCATTCAAATGGGTAGTTTTGATCTTTTTTAGAGCAAGGGTGCAATCAATATTTTTTCTGCAGGCATTTTATTTTAAAAATGAAAATAGCTATTTATGATTCTTGCACATGTGATGCCTATAAGTTGCAGCCCTTTCACTTGTTAGTCGAATCTTCATTGTCTTGCTACTCTCAACCATGCTCCTTTAGTCAAGAGTTACTCTCTCTTTCTTAAAAAAGAGTCATGTTTCAACATCTTTTTTAGTCCCTTAAAGTCAAATTCTTTTCTAAGTAATCTTTCTCTAAAGCCAAGCTAAAGCTGGCTTAGTCATTGGCTTCAAACAACCTTAGAGATAAGTTTTGGAGGTACAACTAACCATTCATAACTAATTAAACCTTGCACCTTGATTTAGTTCACCAAAAAACAAAATGTAGTGATAATGTTACTTAAATTAAGACTCCTTTTTTCTGGGATGAAGTGTATTATTTATGTGAAATCATATTCTTTCCTCTTTTTCCCTTGCAGGTGAATTTTCCAAAGTCTAAGAAATAAGAGCTTTTACATTCTAAGTTACCAAGGCCGATCACTTCTTGCACTTTTACTTTCTTCCTGTTACTTGGATTTAGGTGTAGCCTAAAGTGCAGTTACGCCGTTTTGCTTATGACACTTATTATGATCTCCATTTCTGAATTCCATGATCTGAATATATGTGTGATAACTTTCTTCAACAGTTATTTATATATGCTCTTCTGCATTATCTCATTGCATACATGCTAGTGTTCTTGTTTGCCATTCTCAATGAGGGGATCGGAGGGCTCGGCTGTTTTGAGCCCAGCCGGTTTCAGCCCCCCTCAAGCTGAAACCGGTATCACTTTTACCAGGTCCGATTTCCGGCCCAGTTACTGATAGAATGTATAAATTTTGAAATATACTTCCCCCCAATTTTTTGCACCCAGCACCCACGGCTATAATTGTTTGTTGGCTGACTAGCAAATGCCCTCACCCTTGAAACCTTAAAAGACTAGAACTGGTATGCATTCTGGCGCCAAACTTCCAGCCCAAAAGGTTTTTCGGGTTTAACTAACTTAAATTTTCTGTTACATAAATCATAAATGTTCACTTATCATATTCTTCACTTGGAATTATATATAACTACCTATCTTCCCAGTTTGCATAACAAGAATCGGTTCTTTTCTTGTGTACACTTGCCCGGACGTTTTTATCCATTCTTTTCAAAGTAAATGACTTATTGAAAATGATTTTGAAAGTTGGATTTTGATAATGACCTAATGTCTGTTTTTTTGAATTATGAGAACTCTTACCAAGTTTTTATATATGGTGATGTTCTAATATACTCGAATATACGAGTTAGAGAGAACATGTAATGAATTGGTCGAAGTTATGGAAATAGATGTTCAAAATATATGTTTACCTGTTTTGTAAGCGCAATATTATAAAAACATATTAGGTGCAAAGATTAGATTATTCCAAATTAATACTTAGTATTAAACAACTAAACAAGTAATTTGAGAGGACCAGTGGGATGTTTGGATTTTAGAATAATCTATTTCTTATTAAAATTTTAAATTTCACGCGCTGCATAATATGTACTAGTGTCGTACTCGGCTAAATGTGACTCAACATGTTCCCATCCATACATGATTGTTTTTTATAGGCGGATTGAGATATACATTACCGAAATAAAGTATTTGTGCTACATTGTGTAACATATAAGAAATTCATTGATTTTTTAGGATGATTATAAAAACTGTAGTTTTATTTATTACTTACAGAGTTTCAAGAAAATGCTTGCTAAAAATCTCATTATTTTGTTATATGAAGACCAGGAAATATTTGCCCAAATAAAATTGGAGTGTTTCCATCTAATATGGGGATAAAATTTTCAGGAAGATTGTTTGAGAAGATTTGAACGAAACTTTCAATCACATGTTGTGAAATACTACCTCTGTGCTAGTTTGATTTTCACATTTGTCAATTTACAACTTTGATTGGAATTATATTTAATTACATGTTAATGTAGCACCTATTGAAGACAAGATGCGGGAGTCGCGCCTACGGTGGTTTGGTCTTGTGCGTAGAAGACCGAGTGATGCACCTGTTAGGCGAGTTGAGATGTGTGGAGAAGAGGCAGGGAAGAGAGGGAGAGGAAGACCCAAACAGACGTGGGTTAGGGGAGTTCGAAGTGATATGCTTCTTCTGGGGTTGGATGAGGGCATGACTTTGGAGAGGACTAAGTGGAGGGCGGATATTCACGTGAAGGAGTGATCTTGATAATCTTTTTCCCTCATCTTTTTTTTTCCTAGTTTTTTTATCCTTATATATATAAGCATTATTTGCAGCCTTTTTATTTTATCATTTTAATATATATTCATCTTTTTTTATATTATCTTTTCATAATAGCTTATCTTTTTATCTTTATTCCTTCTTTTCCTTTTGGTTGTGATATCATGTATCGATTCATGTTAGCCGACCCCAATATCTTTTGGGACTAAGGCTTGGATGTTGTTGTTGTTAATATAAATTATAAAAATTTAATATTTTGGCAGTCCACATTAAGAGAAATTTATTATTATTTTTTACATAACATTTTGATTATGTATTAATAGAAAATCATGGTCAAAGTAAGATGTGTGAATAGTGTAAAATTCGAAGTGTTATAACAATTAAAGAATGAAGCAAGTAATACAATACATGAGATAATGTAATTGATAATATTTTGTTATAATCGAAATGAAGTAAAAATTTAGGCGTTCTTGGAATGCAAAAACTTGATGTCTTTGAGTGATTATATACGTAGTAATTAATGTTTATCCCATCATTAAACAAGAAATCTGTTATAATAAATCACATATTTTAAACTCCAAAACAATCAGAATCCATATTATAAGTTTTTTTGGCATCCATCCATATCACAAGTTAAACATCAATCATTATTAGATGTTTTCTTAAATTTACTGGCCTGGTCTGATTTGATTCGATCTGTTTAAGTCTGATCTGATAAATGTTTGGTCTCTATGTATTTTATAATTGTCTAAATCTAGTTTGATTGATATGTTTAAGTTTGGTGTAATTTGAAAACGGTCTAATACAAAACATCCTTACTTTGAATTGGAATTACTACTCCATACAATAAAAGATATAGAAATTAGTTCAAATAGGACTAAAACTATGGCAAAAATCTAAAATAGGACTTGCTATGTTTTTATTTCAAAATAGGATCATATGAGTCCTATTGGAAACATACCTATTTTTGCATTTCATTCTTACCCTTCCATTAAATATGAATTAAAAATAGTCAAAAGCCATAATTAAATGTTTAATTCATAATAAATTCGAAAAAAATACAAAAATTCGTAGAAATATAATTAAAAAATTTATAAAATTTTTATAAAATAAAAAATTCAAAAACATTTTTTTAAAATAATTTTATTTTTAAAAAAATTAATAAAAAATAGTAAAACTCCGTAAAAAAAATTTAAAAAAATATGGATGCCTTTCCCACCGCCTGTACTACCTCCTAGCACCACCACCTCCGGCCGATGAAAAAATGCCATTTTCCCACAAAAATGCCATTTTTTATGAAAATGCCAAAAAAGTGGCATATTTCTCTTTTCGAATGTCAACATTTTCATTTTTTTCTGCCATAAATATGACATTCGTAATGAACTTGGCATTTTTTCCCCTGGTGACTCGAGGTGGTGGTGCTGAGGCGGCAGAGGTGGCGACGATTTTTTTTTTTGAGTTTTTATTTTTTAATTTTTTTAATTTTTTGAAAAAAAATTAATTAAATTTTGAATATCGAAATGTTTTTCTTAATTTTTTAGTATTTTTACGAATTTTTATTATTTTATTAGGAATTAAAACATTTTAATAACTATAAGGGTATAATTGTCCAAGGTACACATAATTAGTCCTATGAAAATATAGTTTATTTTTTGTTCCTATTTGTGAAAAGTGAATGACTTTTAGTCCTATTTTGATAATTAACTCTAAAAGATATCGAGTTAACAATTTATTCAAGAACTCGGGCTAACAAAAAGGAGTTATAAAAGAAAAAATAAGGTCCTACCGGGAGTCGAACCCAGGTCGCTGGATTCAAAGTCCAGAGTGCTAACCACTACACCATAGAACCGATTTGTTAATAATTTGATGTCTAACGTATATGCCGTATAGTTATTTCCACTTGACCTTTTCTAGTTCTAGATAAAAGTTGACCTTTTTTGTTGCGTGATGAAGCGTAAGAAAATGACAGTGTGAACTGTGTCCGTAATGCTAAAATTAAATGAATCTATTGATATATACTACGTATAAAATTCCGAAGGAAACTATACCTAACAAAAAAACTATATTTTTAAAATATTTCTGATAATAAAACAAAGAAAAACGATCATACTTCAAGTCATCCAAAGGAAAATCTCGATCCAAGGAAAACTCGATCAAGAATACATTGATTTTTGGAATCTGCACTTCTATGAATTCAATCATCCAAAGGAAAAACTCGGTCATCATTTTTTTCAACAACTTTTCAAAAATTACAAGTACTTCAATTCTTATCCTATTTTTCGTCATTTGCAATGAAGCCAAAAACTCACTTTTTTTGTCTTGGGAATATTATGGAATATAACAAAATGATTCACTACATTGTCTGTCCTTCTTTGTCATGAAGAAATAATCAATCCATACAATTTTCGACGCGATTGATAACTGTCCATATATTTTAATTTCTTAGTTGTGCGAGGTTCACTGTACAAATATTTTAATTTTTTAATGAGATGGCTTACTTGGAATATATTTCCAATAAGGTCTTGCCACATGTATTATATATGTACCAAAACATTCTGCAATTGATAACCTTCCAGAACCATCAATCCATAAAAACTCATCAAAACCAAACAAAATTATTGGCTTGCAAAGGTAGGGAAACCCCAAATAGAAACCTTAAACTCACATCTGCTATTTACAAAAGTAATACGGAACGTAACATGACATAAATCTTGGAATAAGGAATAAGGAATAAGGAAACTTAAAAAATGAATCTTAATTGCACCATATGTATTTTTTGAAAGAAAAGTAATTAAAAATCTAATCATTAAAATAGAAGGAAAAGGCTATGAATGCTTCAAGGTTCATATCAATGAATTGTTTCTGTACTGGGAGTGTAGTTCATAGTTCACTCTGAGATAAGTCAGTGTACATCTGTAAACACGTCATTATTAAGTGCTTCAAAGGCAATGTTTTCCTCAAATGGTAGTATGGTACACAAGTTTAAAATGAAACAAAAAATTTAAGGATGATTTAGTGGTTGTTGAGCTATATTTTTTTGACCTACAATATAGATGAAAACAAATATGGACCCACCCCTTTCACAAAAGAGAGTAAAATGAGACACATTCAATTATATATCATCTTTCATATGAAAAGAAATATACATAATTTGTATTTGCACTTTTAGTTTGAAATATTAAAATAACGTAACATCCCTGATCCGAATAATAAGTTTGAAAAATTAATACTTCATATCTTGCATGTGTCTTTCTTCTCATTCTTAGATCGCCACATGAAGGCACATTCACTTATTTGGCATCTTATAGATAGTATCATCGAGCAAGAAGTCAATAAAAGCTATCTAACACAATTATTTTAATGACAAACGAACACTTGGAACATAGCTTTGTTAGTATCTGTCTTCTGTGATAAGCTGATAATAACATGATGGAGTATATGGACCTGGATCTGGGGACTCACATA